TATTATTTAATTATATTAATGCACTATTTGCAGTGAATTTATTAGAAGAGAATGCTGTAGCAATATAATTGGATCCATCAGTCACTTTTAATGGTAATAAATTAGTTGGTATAGCTTCAAGTAAAAATTGATGATTTTCCCAAAATGTTTATTTAGCATTTTTAAGATATGGCATGCATTCAAATGCTCTACCTTACCAATATAATTGACCAATATAATTTGATATAGTTATTATTTATGAATTTGTAGCAGCATTAAAAGTTGTACTACTAACATAAAATTCTGTTAATAAAATTACTTATTAAGCAGAACTGAATTCAATATTTAATTAATATATTGTACTTATAATAGAACTTGAAATTGTTGGAGGATTGTTAATATTGTAAGTAAATATTAATACAACAGTATATGAATTATCTATATTGAATGTTATTATTTATTAATTTAGAGTTGATTTAGGTACAGCATTACTTTGAATATTTTCATTATTTGCAATTGTAGCAAATTAGTATGTCATTCTTAAATTTAAAATGGTAGCATCTTTTTAAAAGAGTAAATATCTAGCATTATCTTTAATAAAATGGAAATAAGAGGCTTAATTACCGAAAGGACTTTGTTCAATTTGAATTTGTTATGTTTTGAACATCAGAGCATTATAGTTATTTTTATCAGTTGAAATAATTCCTTATTATAATGTACTTTTTAGAGAACAAGAAATAGAGGAATCAATAGTAGTATCCATCACTATAGTAGCAGGAGATAATGAATTTGCATTTAATTTTGATAATAGAACATTAGAACTTGGAGATAGTAAAGATGCAGCTAATTTTCCAAAGTTAATATCTTAACAAGAAACTCTACAAATTCTTGAATTATCAGGTAAAGCACAAATACATCTTCCATTTAATAAAATTCTGTTACTATTACAAGTTTAACAGGTGTTTAAATTACAAGTTGCACAATCAAATGGACATTATGAAACACATTATCCTAATTAATTCATTTAAAATCCTTATTTACAAACACAAGCCAAACCATTTCTAAATGTCACTTAATCATATTAAGCAGTATCACATGTTAAGCATGAATATGAATTATTACATGTCAAACATGTTTAATGACATTTAATACAAAGAGCATTGAATTCAAAATATCCATCATCACAAATACATTAATAATTTGAGTAATGTCTATTTAGACCTGGTAAACATGTTTTACATTTTGTACCATTAGTATTCATATGACATTATTCACATGGACTTGTACAAGATTTACAATCTTGATCATTTGTCATATTATCATAATAGTTATCTTGACATATACAAGTATTACCAATAGGAATACGATGTTTTAGGGAATCACAAAGATGGCATTCAGTTGCGAAATTATAACATTTTTAACAAGTGTAATTACATTGACTACAAATAACATTTGTACCAACTTAATAATATCCATCTTAACATATGCAAAGTTATGATTCAACAATTCTGAATGATCCAGGAGGACAAGTTGTACATTCAGTACCAGTTCCATAATCAGCACAATCATAACAGGGAGGAGTACATTAAGTACAAGCTAAAACTCCAGTTTTTTCATAGTATCCATCTTGACAATTGCATTTATGATTAGTTTCATCTATAATTCTATTAAGTCCATCTTAACAAGTAACACATTATGTTCCATCTGCTGGGAGGGCAAATGTATCATCTAAACATTCCAAACAAGGACTAATACAAGTCAAACATATGAATGATGATAATTATGAATAGTAATTGTTAATACAAATACATTTTTTATTGGTATCGACAGTTCTGTTATCTCCTGTTTTACATTAAATACATTGTGTTCCATCTCCATTATCTTCACATTCATAACAAGGATCAACACATTTAATACAGGGACTTGTATTATCAAGTTAGTAATAATCAATTTTGCAGACACATACTTGATTTAATACTTCTCTATTTTAAGTTGATAGGCATGTTTTACATTTTGTACCATCATTAGGAGCACATTCATCACATGGTTAAACACAAGGTAAGCATGATAATTAACCAGTTGGTTAATAATATTTAGTTATACAACTGAAACATTTATCAGGGTAATATTTACAAGTGGCACAAGGAGATGTGCATGGTTAACAAACTTTTGGAGATACTGTTGTTTCATAATATCCAGATTAACACACACAAGCATTAGAACTTAATACTCTATAAACACCAGTAATACAAGAGAGACAACGTGTATTTGTAATTTCACAAGTTAAACATGGTGATTAACATGGTTAACATACTATATCTGTTCCAAAATATCCATCAAGACATTAACATTTTTTAGTACTATCTCTAAAAGAATTAGGTTTACAAACATCACAATCAGTATCACTTGTAATACATGATACACAATATGATGCACATGGTTAACAAGTCAAAAAGCCAGCTTCAAAATATCCTTATTTACAAACACATATATTTCCACTTAAATTTCTATTGAATATAGCTTTACAAGAAGTACATTGAGTTCCATTATAATCAATTCCATTTGAATCTTTTCCACTTAAACAATTTTAACATGGTTCAACACATTAAGTACATATTTATTATGTATCTGTATAGTAATAGCCACTAGAACATACACATTAGTTATTATATAATATTCTTAAATTAACAACTTCATCACATGATAAACAATGAGTAGATGTTGTTTCACATGTTAAACAATTCCAATGACAAGATTAACATACATTTGAATCTAAATAAAATTTATCATAACAACTAGTGCATTTAGTATCTTAATCTATACAAGTTTTGCAATTACCATCACATGGTAGACATTCATAATCTCCATTATTTTAATCAAAAAAATTTGGTTTACAAATACATAGATTATTATCTAAATCTCTATTATCACTTGGTAAACAACTTAAACAATGTGTTGCAGTTGTCTCACAAGTTAAACAAGGATTTGTACATGGATCACAAGTTGAACCATTTAAATAATATTCAGTAACACAACTATCACATAATATATCTGATTAACAATTTTCACAAGGAGATACACATAATTCACAAGTTTTATCAGATCCATTTGTTAATAAATATTTTCCTAATATACATGATGTACATTCAGTATTTAATGGACCTGTACATTCAAAACAATTTAAATCACATTCTTAACAAGTCTATAATCCATCTAAATAATAACTACTTTAACAATCAGTACAAAGCTCTTAATCTGAAGGAGATTAACAAACAGTACATGGAGAATTACATTATTTACAAATTCCATATGAGTTTGTTATGTTGTCTAAGTAATGTCCAACATAACATGATTGACAATTTGTTATAGTTGTCAAACATGTTTCACAATTTGAATCACAATCAATTTAACATTTATTTGTAGTTTCGTTTAAATACATGTTAGTATCACAAGTCAAACAAAAATTGCTAAAGTTTTAACAAGTAATACAATCCTCAGTACAAGTAGAAATACAAGTTGAATCATTTGGATTGATATAAACAGGGCATGTATCCACACAATTTATTCCATCCTTCAATTTTGGGAAATCACATGTGATACATGTATTAGTTACTTAATCTAAATACAGATTTTGATCAGTATCACAATTAATACAAGTAATTGAACTTCCAGAGCATTCTTTACAATTAGGATCACAATTTAAACAATCACTTCCTTATTGATAATAACTGATTGCACAAGTATCGCAAGTCGTTCCTGTAGTACAAGTTTCACATTAAGGTAAGCAATTTAAACAGCCACCCATTCCATCATCATACTAATTCGAAGCACATTAAGAGTATGCAAAAGGGATAATTTACATGAGACCAAACAACCAAATTTACATGATTCTGATTATAAGTAAATTTTGTTTGATATAAATTAAATTTTAAATAAAATGCATCCAAATTATCGAGGCTATCATGACAATTTAATAGTATATTCTGAGTCTATTTTCAAACTTAAATCTTAATCAAGGAAATATTATTTTGCTTTCTACATTACAATAAATACTCCATTTAATATAATAAGGTCTCATGATTCTTAGATTATAATCTATTCAAACGTGGAAGAGATATATAATTATGTTAGAGTTTTAGAATTCTTTGAATATGATTAAGGTACCAAATTGGATGTTTAATATTATAGGCTTATTTTTTGATGATTGCAATTTTCATATTTTTCCTGAAAAAAGGAATAGAAACATGAATAATCTTAAGAATTTAGCCACATGAAATAGTTTTATTGATTTACCAGATCAAAGAGATATATTAGAGAATCATCTCAGGTATTTTATCTGTTTTACTGTAAGTGAAATAATTTCTATCTATTTCCACAACACTAATTATTTAATAGATATTGTGTTTGTATTAATGAAGCTTATATTAAAATTGATCTCATCTAACTAATGCTGTATTTACAATTTTCTAAATGGCTTAATTGATGCACTTTCAAATTTAATTAAAAACTCAAACTCTTTGGCTCGATAGGATGAAAAAATGACTAAAAACAAAAACAGTCTTAATTAGTACAGGTATTTTTTATCAATTGAAGTCCTTAAATACTTAAATACATAAATTAGAAAGTCTTCCTAAAATTTTAAACCTATGAAATGGAATAATTTAATCTTAGTAAACACAAATTAATCTATAGATAATAGAAAACCGATGAAGAAAATCAATTTATTAGATATTCATATAAATTTGGAGATACAGGAACTTAAAATAAAAAGATAGATTGATATTAATATAATATAATATATTGAAGAATGAAAATATAAACTATAAATGTTAATTTTAACATTCTTTTAATACTCTCATTAACAATTAAGATTCTTTATTTCAATTAAATAATTTACTCTCAAAATAGTATTTTACTTCATTTTGAACTTGCATATATGTATATAATTGAATTTCTGATTAAAGTATTAATTTAGTGAATCCTCAAAAAATGATTTCTTATAAAATATGATTATATAATTATCATTCATTAGTTGGTTGATGTCATTATTGCTTATTTAACACTTTTTGTAGTTGTTATTTTCTAAGTTTAGAAACTAATAAAGTATAATTAATAATATTTACTTTTTGTCTGGACTAAGATAATTAGAAACTTGAGGTTATGGACTTTGCATTCTCTAAGAAAAATGAGATTGCTTAAATTCATTCTATGATTGCAATCTATACTAATCATATTATTAATTCTAGGAAGATGGAACTTAATTTATTTAATTAATTCCAGATTATCTAGTTACTATACCATTACCTTAAACATTTTAAACATTATTTGTAGTAGTTATTATGTTGGTTTTCAACTAAGAATTTGTTTATCCAAATTATTAATTAATAATAAATTAATCGTTAGGTTTTTCAATTATAATTTATTTTTTAGTTTTAGAATCTAATCTAGAATTTTCTTATTGTAATATACGTAATTTTGATTCATAATCAGTGATATTAGTAATCAATACTTAAATTTTATTTTCTTAATCTTATCTAATATTTCTCTATCTATCAATCTCAACAGTCAGAGTTTAATTTTCATGTTCTAATTAGGTTATTCTAAATTACAATTATTTCACTTAATCTAAATTCACATTAAATTATTGAGATTTAATTTAAGTAATTTCAATTTTAGATTAATTAAATTATTGTTCTAATTATTAATATCTTTATTTATATTGATTCAATTCCTATTATAATTATTTCAATTGATATTATAGATTTTGAGTTTCAGCTGAACTTTATGTCTATAAATTGTTTTCTAAATTTTATCTCTCAATCATCAATCTTGAAATGAACTATTATTCCAATTCATTTTTAATTCGAATTTCATGATTTCTCAAATCCATTTAAAATTAATTTATTTTTTAATTTTTTTATTGACACTCAAAATCTAATTCTCTTATCCTAGCCATTAACTTTTCAATTTCTCCTATATTTTATTTATTCATTTCACTTTCCCTTTAAATCATAACATACTTTTAATTTGACTATTCAATATCTATTCGATATTTTTGAATTTATTCTTTCAAGATTGAAATATCTTAATTCAATTATATATTGGTTTATTTTTATGATTATAATTAATCCCTTAAATTTTAAGTTTCAAATTAACTTTCTCTAGTTGTCTTCTCTTTTACAATCATTATTTCATTATTTTATTCCTTATATTTATATTGCAATTAATCATATTAAGTTTTTAATTAATTATATTTATTTTATAATTACTAAATTTCTATTAAACTTTAGCTATTCACTTTTTACTCAATCTATTACATTTCAAGTTTTAATCTCTCTCTAAATTATTATTCCAATTAATTTTCTTAATTTGATAATTAATTTCTTAATTGTTAAATTTATTATTCATACTATTAAATTCGAGATTTCAATATATCAATTTCTTTAGTATTTGTTTAAGAAAACTTGATTTCACTTTCTCTCTAAAATTAAATATAGTTTTGATTTAGTGAATCATAATCATTTCTATACTTCCTTATTTACTCATTTAATTATTTAATTTCATTTAATGATTGATTATATCTTTCTTAAATTGCTTAATAATCATTTTGAATATTCTTTTATTAATAGGAATTATTCTCAATTTATTATTTCTATTATTTTAATTGTATATTTTCTTATTATATCAAATTATATTAAGATTACAATTTTTAATAGTCTTCTCTAATACTAATTAATTAAAATTAAGATTATTATTATTATTATGAATTTTAAAATTGAATTTGCATTTAAGAGTATTAACTTTAAAGAGATTAGTATTGATTTGTAGAATTTCTAAGTTATTATTCTAGTTCAATGATTCTTTACTTTAAAGAATCTACTTCATAAGAATTACTCTTGTATTATTCACTTTACCTTTAAATATTCATATAATCATTTGATAATCTTTCATAATCAAGTCTATATTTTTCTCTTTCTTCTTTTAATTTATTAATTTCATATTAATATTATCCTTAACTTTAATTCTTTATCATTCTAATTTCCTCTTCATATTAATTTTATGTTATACTGATCCTTTAATCTCTTTCTTATAGATCAGCAATTAATATCTAAATATCTGATTCCATTTCTGCTATCTTTCTTTTCAAACTCTCTACTTCTCCTGAATCTATTCTTCTACTTTCATAATCTACTCTATATCCATCAAAATCTTTTCTCTATTTATCAATCTCTAATCTTAATTAATCTATTTAAATTTCATATTATTTTATTCTATCTTATAAAAATAGAATCTAATTGTCCTTTTATATTACTTTTTATTCCTAAGCATATGATTACTCTTAAATTTATATGGCTTTATAACGATCTTACCAGACTAATACTTCATGTTATAATGCAGAGATCCTTTTTAAATATCCTTCAATCTCACCATTTTAATTTTTTGAACTTAATCTAAATTATGATTATTATATTTCTTAAATGTAAGAATCGCAATTAAAATTTAATCTTTGAATTTCTTGTTATAATTCTGCTATTCGATCTTCCTAAACTTTAACTTTTCTTTTTAAATCATCTCTCTCATTTTAATATACTTTAGATTAATCAGTATCTTAATTTTAAGTATTTCTAAAATTACTCTACTACCATTAAATTTAAGATTACTGAAATTACTAATTAAGTAAATTCTTAGCTTTTATAATATCTTCATTTTCTTAAGTAAGTACTTTAATTTACTACTTCAATTAATTGATTTCGTAAGAATTATTACTCTAGGATGTAAATTAAGTTAAAGATTATTTAGATCTAAGTTATTCTTCTAAAGATTTGATCTATTATTTCAATTAATTAACTTCAAAATCATTTGAAATTACACTTACATTTCTCTCTATTTTAAGTTTGTATTCGTTATTCTCCTGCCTTAATTTATTGAGTTCCTCTCTTAATTATTATAATTCTAAATCGTTTGATGTATATCCAATCGTTTTTATTCGACTTTAACCTTTATCAGATTATAATTATCTAAATTTATTTTTCCACATTTCCAACTCCTTCAATTAATCTTATATTTGATTGTTTAACGACTTTATACTTTCCCTAAGATTTATTATTTCTTCATCATAAAAATATATTTACCTCTTTCTTTTGCTTCTATAATATTCTGAAAAGATGCTTAATCATTTATAATAGTTTATTCCGTAATTGGAGGACTAACTTTAATTCGATACTCTTCATTCCTATAATATATCTTTATAATTCACCTTATTAATGTGTTTCCATATTTTTATAAACTTTTTTATGATGTTAATCCTTCTCCTCTTTATTCTATAGTTTCTATTTTATAATTTGTGAATCCACTCATTTTTTTTGTTATGTCGTATAATATATGTAAATAAATTATATTAATAATTGAATAGAAATATTATTCATTCTATTTTAGATATTTTGCTTATATTGATTTCAGACTTTAACAAGTCATTTGTTCTATTGTTTTAAATAATTGAATCAGATTAATATGGCTTATTCACAAATTAAGTAGTACTTTTACTCTTTACTGATGGAAAATGAGTATTCATCATTGGAGAATTAGGTCCCTTAGATTTAATCTACTTAAATAAGTTTTTAATACTCGAGTCATGTGATCACGAAGTTTTTCATATTTCGATATTTGTTCTTATTACTTTTCTAATAAAATTTATTTGGTTAATTCAAGTCTTTTTTGTAATTCTTAATTTTCTTCATCAATCTTTTATTACTATTTCCTTCTTAAAGGAGAATGAAGTCTTTTACCCAAAGTGTTTTCACACCATTGAGAAGTGTCAGCCTAAAAAGTCTCTTGAAATCCATTACATATGCTTTCTCTCTCAAATTTTATACTGTCCAAATTGATCTAAATTAAGAGTTCTTACCTTCTTATATTTCAATTATATGAGAACTGAGATATTAATTTTATTCATCAATTCTTTTTCTTTATTCTGATTTTTAAAATCTAGAAGATTATGCTTTTAGTTATTATGTTTTACTAAGAATAGGCAAATCCTTAAAAGCATATCTTGCTTTCTTACTATTAGCCATACAAGATAATCATTACTCCGTTTAAATTTCATCTAATTTCCTTTTATGGTAATCATAGTTTTGATTTCTAAGCATTTTCTATACTAAGTTGGTCTCTACAAATCTTGCACCTTACATAAGTTATATATATATATATTTTATTAATTGTTTTTAATAAATATTTAATACCCTACATATTAAACATACACAAATATTATTTATTTTAAATGCCTAAGTTTTATTGTGAATATTGCGGAATTTATCTCACACATTCATCTCCAAGTGGAAGAAAACAACATTCACTCGGGAAAAAACATATAAGTGCAAGAGAAGATTATTATAGAGCTGTAATGAGTGATTTAGTAGATTAATTGAAAGCATCCTTTTAAAAGAATATAATCCCAACCTTTATCTCTAAAGATACAATTAAAAGATTACTCATTACACATTCTTCAGTGTTTTAAGGCTTACTCACCCCTGCGTTTGTAGAAACTATTGATAGTTTAGGATTGAGTGGCACAAGAACCTAATATATGCCCTAACCTACTTTGATTCTCCCACCTTAAGGAGCTTATTAGCCTATGTCCTACAATATGATGCCTCCAGGAATGCAAATGAGATATTGAAATCAAAATTGTTAACAATTATTCCAAATTTGCTTCTACCTTTCTAATTTTTATCAACAATCAACCATCTGATGTTGTAACAATTAATTTTGATAATTCCATGTAAAAAAATAAAAATCTAGAACTTTTATTTTTCTAGATTGTTTGCAAATCTTTTCTTAATTTTATGGTTCTATTTATACTAAAATTCATACCATAAATTTTTTTATAGTTAGCTTCTTAAACAATTATCTAATAATTTATATTTTAAAGATTAATATTCCATTTTTAATATTAGACATTAAGCAAAAATATTAATGTTAAAAAAAACAAAATATTATTAATTTAACTTCATTATTTTTAATTTTAATGTTATTTATATAAAATTTAATTAATTCTGGAAGAAAAATAACAATAATAAATAAATTAATAATAGAGAAGCAAAAACTAGTTCAATATACTCATATTTATATTTTTCATTATTTGAGAAAAGAATGTAAAATTTATTTTAAGATCGAATTTTCTTATCAATTACTGTAATTTTTAAGTAAAAATAATAATTTTAGATAAAAAATCATAAATGGAAAGAATAAATGTTTAAATAGATAATAATAATTTAATTCAATTTTGTTGGATTGACATTTATAATTCTTCAATTTCCATGAAAATGGATTCCCAATTAGAAAACAATTATTTATTTATAATTTATGATGATTTATAAATTATTATTTGTAGGATTTATTTTAAACATGATAATATGATTTGTTAATTTTTGTTTCAGTTTCAGTAAGAAGTGAGTTTTTTAATGATTACATTTAAAACAAAAAACATATAAATTCATAAGTAAATTGATGAGATTCTTGTTGGAGATTATGAATATTTCAATATAGAGGTTGATCTCTTTCTTTGTTCATTTCTAAGACTAGGATTTACCCATTCAGTATTAGGCTATCCTTTCAATTTTGAAATTGTCTTTGTGATCATAGTAACACTCTAACATGGTTTGTAAGTACACACAATGAGATTATCATTAAATGATATTTTAGATTGATCCAAATCTAAATCATCTGGTTCATCTTCAATAATTTCCATTTTATGATGAATACTTAATGGTGTCATTGGAGTCAACTTGAATCCAGGAGATTGAGAAATCATTACTAATAATTTTTAATTGCTAGATTTGAAATATTAAAACGATAGCTATTAATGATTATATTAATGCGTAGTAAATAATAACTTGACTTTTATTATAATCATAATTATTTAGTAAATAATATTTACCATACTATTTATTAGAGTAGATCTTCATTAAGTGAGAAAATTGTCTTTGATAACTCTCTGATTGGTAATTATAAATAAATCTAAAGAGTAAGTGGAGATTCTTCATTAAGCAAAAGTAAAAAGTAACGAAAATCACTGGTTGTCCATTTTTAATCTATATAAAATGTTTTGAATCTCAAGAATGCATTCCAATATACTTTATTGAGTGCTTCTTAGCATTTTGTATNTAATTCTGGAAGAAAAATAACAATAATAAATAAATTAATAATAGAGAAGCAAAAACTAGTTCAATATACTCATATTTATATTTTTCATTATTTGAGAAAAGAATGTAAAATTTATTTTAAGATCGAATTTTCTTATCAATTACTGTAATTTTTAAGTAAAAATAATAATTTTAGATAAAAAATCATAAATGGAAAGAATAAATGTTTAAATAGATAATAATAATTTAATTCAATTTTGTTGGATTGACATTTATAATTCTTCAATTTCCATGAAAATGGATTCCCAATTAGAAAACAATTATTTATTTATAATTTATGATGATTTATAAATTATTATTTGTAGGATTTATTTTAAACATGATAATATGATTTGTTAATTTTTGTTTCAGTTTCAGTAAGAAGTGAGTTTTTTAATGATTACATTTAAAACAAAAAACATATAAATTCATAAGTAAATTGATGAGATTCTTGTTGGAGATTATGAATATTTCAATATAGAGGTTGATCTCTTTCTTTGTTCATTTCTAAGACTAGGATTTACCCATTCAGTATTAGGCTATCCTTTCAATTTTGAAATTGTCTTTGTGATCATAGTAACACTCTAACATGGTTTGTAAGTACACACAATGAGATTATCATTAAATGATATTTTAGATTGATCCAAATCTAAATCATCTGGTTCATCTTCAATAATTTCCATTTTATGATGAATACTTAATGGTGTCATTGGAGTCAACTTGAATCCAGGAGATTGAGAAATCATTACTAATAATTTTTAATTGCTAGATTTGAAATATTAAAACGATAGCTATTAATGATTATATTAATGCGTAGTAAATAATAACTTGACTTTTATTATAATCATAATTATTTAGTAAATAATATTTACCATACTATTTATTAGAGTAGATCTTCATTAAGTGAGAAAATTGTCTTTGATAACTCTCTGATTGGTAATTATAAATAAATCTAAAGAGTAAGTGGAGATTCTTCATTAAGCAAAAGTAAAAAGTAACGAAAATCACTGGTTGTCCATTTTTAATCTATATAAAATGTTTTGAATCTCAAGAATGCATTCCAATATACTTTATTGAGTGCTTCTTAGCATTTTGTATAGTTTAAAATATAAATCCATATGTATCTTAATTTATAAATTTTAATAATGTTTATGTAACACTATTTTGTAGCTATTATAAATTTAGATTCATGCTCTTTAAAATTTTGAACTCAAAATAAAGGACATTTTTTATTAATAATCTAAATTTCTCATTATCATCATTTATTCTAGAGATTTATTATTATAAAGTTAGATTTTTGGAATAGTAGATACTGAGTTCACAAAGTAATAAAAATTAAGAAAATACTTCCTTATCAACACTTATATATTCTATTTAGAATAGTCTTTTAAATTTTTCATAAATTTAATCACAAATTTATGGTAATTCTTAAGCTAAATCTATTTTCTTCTCTTTTTAAGCGCTACTAATCTTCTTAATTTATTTTTCCTTTGATTTTCCTATATATTAATTCAATAAGTACTTTATTTTTAATTTAAGTCTCTTTTTTCATTATTTTACTATTATAAATACTATTTAATCTCTTTATTTTTCTTATGAATCTAATAAACTCTATGATCTATAAGAATATCATCTGAATTAGTATCATTTAATTAGCTTTAAACTTAGGTTCTAAATTATATTACTTTTTCATTTATTTTCTAATCTTTGTTTAATTGCTTTTCTATCCTTTATTCAGAAATATAGATAATTTATCGAAATCCTGATTTATGTACTAATTAAAAATCTCCTCCATAAATGTAAAGATTTTCATGCTATTTTTAATGCTGATGCAAAAATTCTGTAATAACTTCATAAACTGTTTTACTATCTGCTGTCACAATATCAATTACTTTTTTGTTTAATGAGAATGTACAATAATGATGTTCAAACATTGAGCCCTATAAATTTATTAAAACATTAGAAATGTAATGAAAAAATTGAGATATCTGTTTCTCATTTAAGAAATCTTTGAACTTTAAAAACTATTAGTATTTATGATTTTATGCTATCTCTTTTAAAAAAGCCTCAACATTTCCAATAATTATTATTAATGAACCTGATGGTTCTTTTTAAGGAACTATATTTATAATCCCATTAGATGCAGGTTATGAGTGTAGTTTCTCTACGATTTTATAAGAATAATGTGAAATGTTTCTTTTTGCCTTTTACTTTACTCCATATTAATCTACGTTAAGGGAAAATGATCTTGGCTTTATTTCAGGTTAAATTATATTAGGGAACATTAAATTAATTAAAATGTAAAATAATAGAAATGAAGAAATATTAAAACAATAAATTGAAAATGAAAAACTAGAATAAGAAAACAAGCTTTTGAATCAAGAACTATCTAAAGTTTTTAGTAATTAATAATTTGTTTGTAATTAATAATTATCAATAAAAAGGCTAATAAAGATATGATGATAAAACATTATAGATTTTAATCAAGATGGAGAAGTTTTAATAAAAAGAATCAAGTGAATTGAAGTTTCGTCTTTATCAAGATGCATAGGTTTTAGAGATAACAGGTCTTATATCAGAAAAAGATAAAGATCAATAAATTTAATACAATGTCTTTTTTCAAAAAATAAAGTTGTAAGCAAAGGTGACTGGCAAACCAAAAATAAATTAGACAGAGAAAAAAATAGAAATTATATTTGATATAAAAAGAACTTGATGATTTATATGCACTTTTAAAATTATAGAATTTATAAATGAGAGCAATATGGAGTATATTTATTAACTTTTATTATTCTTTTTAAAGATTTAGTAACTGTTATTATTCTAATAATTCTTTTCGTAGTACACTGTTAAAATTATTATAGAAAAAATCAATGAAAAACAAACAAAAATTTCTAATGCTATCAAAATTTATTAAATATTAAGCCTTATTATATAATAAACAATTAACGAAGGAAATCAATTCGACTTTTACTTTTTAACTATATTTATAGATGACTGAGGTTTGGTAACTATTTAATTTTTTTGCTTCTAAACAGTAATTTGAGGTTTGCTTGGTTTTGAACACTTAACTACTGGCTAAGATTAATTTTCTTTATTGGATTTTGATTTATTAAGTTTATTTGTTGACTTTGATGCCTCAACGGAATTCAATTTCTGTAACAGGTTTGTTGTTTCTAATGATGATCTGCATCTAGAAAATGGTTCTTTTGATTTTGAAGTTTATATTAACCTTTTCCCATTGGGAGATTGAGAAACATCTCTAATATTAGGTTCAACTGATTAATTTCGAGTTTAAATTTAATTTTCTTTTGGAGTTGATACTCTTGCTTGAGTTTCAAATTGTTCAGTTCTTGTAGTTTATAACGAATCTAGATGTTAGAATGTTTATTGTAATTACAAATTTTACCACTGAGTTTATTTTTAAGGTTATACTTGCAATTTTTATTAATTCTTATTAGATTATTATTATTATTATTATTATTATTATTATTATTATTATTATTATTATTATTATTATTATTATTATTATTGTTGTTGTTATTGCTATTGTTATTAATATTATTACTATTACTATTACTATTATTATTATTATTATTATTATTGTTATTGTTATTGTTATTGTTATTGTTATTGTTATTGTTATTGTTATTGTTATTGTTATTATTATTATTGTTATTATTACTATTATTATTATTATTATTACGTTTTCTTAGCTATTTAATCTTAGTGAAAATTTAAATTAGATTCATCCAATAATTGTGATTCTTATGGATCTTCATCAAGAGGAACTCTTTACAAATAATCATTCATTATTTCATTTTGAAATAGTTTTGGTTAATGGGGATGATCTTATTGTAATCCAAAAAAAGGACTTTGTAGATCCGTTTTATCCTCTGATTTTTCTTTGTCGAAAGAATTTAATGTTTTATTTTGTTAAACAGAATAACTTTCATTTGATGAATATTATTATTAAGAGTGATCAAATTACCTTGGTTGTTATTGTCTGTTTTCAGGAGTTATAAAGAAACCTTTTCCTCTCATTTCAGCTTCATCACTTAAATTAGGTGTCAAGATATCTTAAGATGATGCTGTAATGAAATTTTTTTTAGGATATGGTGTTATAAAATGTTATTGTGGTGTAGATGTAAGCTACTACTATTCCATGAGAGTGGTTTCAATCTTTAATAATGATTCTTTAAGATGTTTGATTTAATTTTAGACCTATAATTTTTATAAAATTTAATACTTCAAACTTTTATTGATTTTCTCCACAAAATGTTTCTAATAGGGCTTTTAATTTGCTATTAAGCACTACTTTCATCTACACAAGAAGTTATTATTATTTGAATTTTATTATGTGAGTTTCAACTTATTGAGCTATCTTTAATATATCCTTGCCATTATTAACTTAAGCGATAAATTATAATAAGTTATGCAGAGATTCATAAAATTTAGACTTAAAATCCATCACTGATTATTATAATTCCTAAACAACATTATTCTAAATATTACATCAAGTAAACGCTAAGGTTATTAATTGAATTTGACAGCACTTGCAACAATATTGGTTTCAAGTTCATTAAGGGAAACATTAAATAAATCACTTATTTTTTCTGCAGTATTGCTCATAAGTCGTTAATTTTATAATTTATTGAATAATACAACTAAAATATATAAACTAAATTAATATCATTTGCAAATTATATTACTTTATCCTCAAATCTTTCAATATGAAATAATTAGGTAAGAATCTCAATTATTATGATAGATAACCATAAAACAAAAGAAATATAAAAAAATTTTATATTCTAAAAAATTAAATGATAAAAAAAATTTTTTTTATGTTCTTTCAAAAATCTACTTATAAAATCATAAATTGTATTTTGACATAGCATTGTTTTGATATTAAATATAATAAAAATATTCATTTTTATTAACAAATTATAGATATATTTTATACTTTTATTTGTAACATTTAAATGCCTTAGTATATGTAAATTAACTAGTATTTTATAATGGAAATACCTCTACAATAATAATCAAAGGTCTATATTAAATTTAAAATATAAAAACATGATTATTCTTTCATAATCATTTCAACTTAATTTCTAAAAAGTTAAAACAGAGAAAAAAAATATTCACATGATATCTTTTACTCTTTAGAGATAAGTGGTATTTTTGGATTAATTATAAAAATTTTTGGATAAATGTAATTAGAATTTCTCATTTATTTGATATAACATCAATATAAATAGATTATTTTATAAACTCTTTAATTTATCTTTTATTAAATTTGGCAAGAGTTTTTTTATAAAAAGGTTGGTTATATTCAATTAATTGTTGTATGATTAGAATTTTATATTGTAAGGCTTCCATTTCTAAATCCTTCAACAACATAAATATATTTTAATCTAAAAGGATTAATTAATAATTCCATTATTTCAATAATTTAATTGATATGAATTTCATAAATTTCCTTAAAAAATTAATCAAATTCATAATCTTAAATTTCTATCTAATAAAAAGTTAGGTTGAATTAGTTTAAAAATGATTCCAATAATTAAATTCTTCAGGTTTTTATAAACATTTATGATGACTCAAAAATATTTAAGTTTAAGATTAGCATTTTTTAATTATTAAACAATTTATTTGTCTATTCTATTTAATTGAAAATAATAGCTTTATTGACTAAACGATCAGATACGTATATTTGATTTTAAATAAGGCAACTAACTATATAGTTTTAACTTTACTTTCTTAAGATTCATTGAAAGAGATCTGAGTTTGACAGTTTCATTTTAAGAAATATCGTATATGAATTAAAAATTAAATCCAGAAATGAAATCAAGTATTATGTTGATAAGTTTAGAATATCATTCTATAAATTATCATTTTCTAAAAAGGATTCTATTATATTATTTTTGAATATTAATGTCTATAATTTATAGTAATATAACTCTAATTTATTATTCTTATTAGTCAATTGAGGTAATTTAGAATATTATCCTATAAATTTTAAAGTTTCTTCTGATGATATAATCTTAATAATAAAGGATTTGTAGATTATAAAATGATAAGAAATTTTATGGTAAATTTTATTGTAAATACAAAACTTCTTTTGTTAATAATTTTTATACAAAATATGCATTACTCATTAAATTATGTAATATTATTAATTATATATATATATTTATCAAAGTTAATCACATAGTAAATCAAGTTTTTCAAAAATATACTCCATTTATTCATAATCTCCAATTTCATAACTATATTTTTGTTTTTAGATAAGTTCTTTCATTGCAATGGCTATTTTTTTATATTTTTCTTGATTATTAACAGGGGGTAATGAAGTTCTAATAGTTTGATTGGGAGTATTGAATGAAAGTCTTCTTTAGTGATCTTATTATGAGTTATTGTTTCTTGAATTATTCGAGATTTCTATTTTCGAATTCGGAGATGTATCAAATCTTATTAAATTAAGATCAGTTGGATTACGTGTATGTTTAGGTAACACAACATTTTATTAATGAGAATTGTAATTCTCCTTATTAGTATTCTTTTAAATTGTCTATGCTAATTATTAGACAGAAGGATCTTTAATTCTATAGTTTTTTTGTGATCTTGATTATTGTGACAAAAATACGTAGTTGGTTTGACAATTGAATAAAATGGTGATTTTTTACTGATTTTAGGATGCTTAGATGGGTTGATTAAATCTTGATTATAACAATCCTATCCAAATGTGAATGCTTAATCTAAGTTCATTTAACGAGTAAATAAATTAATTTAAGTTATGATTATCAAATAAATTAATAATTGATAACATAAAATAATTAATTGAAATAAAAATAATCTTTATTAGAATTTTGTGTTCATTTTTTTTATTAGATATATTGGACATTAAAGAGATGATAATAATTAATTATCATTAAATTGAATTAAAATGATCACGATATTTTTTTATCAATTTCTTAATTTCATTTTTGCTAGCTGTTTTAGTCATAGCTGGTTTTAATTTTAACTTCATATTACATTCAGAGAATGTTAAAATTTCAATTTTATTTGGTTCCACTTATTTTATGAAATTACCACTTAATAATAGAATAGCTCTAGTTGTTTATTTATTTGTTGGAACACTATATTAAAATATAGATATACTATGGTTAAAAGTCTTAATTTTCAAATGATTTACTAATTTCAATCACAGTATCATCTTCAATAAATTTTGTATATTTGATATATAGAAAATCTCTTGGATCCATAAAAAGTATTTTCTTATATCTCAAGTAATTGATTTGTAATCTTTCATCTGAATAATGAGATTCAAACTAATCCACAGAAGAATCTAATTACTTTTATAGTTATAAGTCTCTCATAAAAGAAATATAATTTTAAATTGTTGTGTTGAGTGTGAACTTATATCTCATTTAAGCAATTTAAAACTTTTCTGGTGTTTCATAATATCTAATCCAAAAAGCAAATTCATCTTGGTTATTTTCAAGCAGTTCATAGTTTTCACAATCTTCAAGTTAAGTTTTAAATATTTCTATAGCCTAGATACCAATTTCTGTTAGCATTTCAACATTTTTTAGATCTTAGTTAGGAATATTCTGAATGAACTCTCTTGCTTTACTTAAATCAATTTGATTATGTTGAATATCAAAATCATTGGATTTTTCCAATAACTTTTAATTTTATGATTAAACTTTAGTTTCTAGATCTTATGTAGCTAATTCAGTTTCATAATCTAATTTATAAGTGATATTTTGTTTACTTTCATTCTTTAGTTCTACCTTCAAATTATTTTTAATCTCTTAGTCTGGATTAAACTCAACCTAACTAAACTATGACATCTAATAATTCTGATCTGAACTTTTGATTTTTGAATATTGAAAAATAGATATGCATTTACTTAGCAAATGCTTTATCCATTAGATGCATTTATTCATATAATAATATTATGTGGAAATAATTCAAAAATATCATTTTAGATTAAAGAGTAGCTTCTAAATATACAGAAATTCAGAATGCTAAATTGTTCATTTCTAATTCAATCGAATTTAACTTCAATATCATATATGATATTAATACCATTTCAAAATTTAGTTATGTATAAAAAAAAGCATAACATTCCAAAAATCCAATATTGATTATAGGTAAGTCACATCCAATTTAGAATTCATTCACATTATTTGAATATACAACACTCTATCCTCAATTACTTGGATTATATCATAATAAACTTCATACTGAAACAACAGTGAATGAATAAACATTATTAAAAAAAGGAATCAATATTCCCTTAACAGATGATCCTCATTAAATTAGTGGGATATATGTTTTAGGATTAGAGAAGAATTGGGAAATTTAAGCTCAAGTAACAACTTATAAAAAATAAAGGTTATTTGTGATCTTTTGAGCACAGAAAATGGACTTATTAATGATAAATTTCATTAAGTAGATTAACACATTCCACTTGAATATTTTTACAATATTGGAGATAAAAATATGGAGAATCAATAATTGGCAATAGAATCTACTTATAAATTAATATATGGTTAGGATGTAAAGATGTCTAGAGTAATTTCTGACTTTGACATTCTGATTGATTATGCAAAATCTATTAAAGATACTCTTCTATATATAAGTGAAGATTCAAGTTTTATTGTTAATGAAAAATAAATAGAGAAAATATGAATTATATATACATTATAATTTTTATATATATAAAATTTATACAATCTTCATAAAATAAAAAGCAAATGAAAATGAAAAATAAGATTGTTTCACTTTTTGTTAAAAGAGAACATTTAATTCTCTTATCTAAAATGTAACTCAATGAATAAAATGAGCTCATTTTGGAAATTGACTAAGTTAATTAAAAGGTTGAAAATACTATATTAAAAACAGAGAGATGGCCTTAATTAGATTTAGATTATTTTTAGAATTCTTTTGTCTAAATAGTTAATTTGACATTCACCTATTATAAAATGTATTTTCCTGTTAATTCAGCTTTACAAATTCGAGAACATTTGAAGTTTACTTAAAGTTTAAAGTAAATAAATTATGGAGGAATAACACTTGAAGAAGTCTTTAAATAATAAAGGGTAGAAGTGAATCCCTATAATAGTTACGATTAGTTACCTCTCTCTCAACTCGACTCTAAGAAGAACCTTTGTAGCCAAAAATAGTTAATAACAAATAAGATTTTGATTATATCTCACTTCTACAATCAAAGTATTTCAATCTAAGAAATCCAGATTATCAATAACCTTATTTGATTCTCAATCTTAAACTATTTGAAATGAAACCTAACACTCGTCCTTTAAGAGAAATATCAATATTTTCAATACAAGATGTACCATAATTTCAATTAATCAATCCATAATTAATCTAACCAATTATTAATTATGACACTTTATCAAGCACTTATGAATATAAATTTAATAAATTAATGTAAAGAAATTCATAAATTTAATAAACAATCAAAAATTACTATTAATAAATTAAATTATTTGAAGATAAATATTATGAGAATGATAAATTAAAATAATTATTTACATAAAAATTAAGAGAATGTACATTTAATGGAAATTAGATAAAAATTATTAAATAATCTAAAATATAACCTAATTTAAGTTAAATTCAAATAGAAACAGAAAAAATTAGTATGGTCAATAGTTTAAATTCAAATGATAGTGAAAGAAATAAATCATTTCAATAATCAATTAAGAGAGTTAATAAAAATGAATCTTTTTGTGAATATGAAAAAATAAGAGTTTCAGATAGATAATAAAAATTAAAAAATAGAATAAGAAATTTAAATACTATGATTTTCAATTAAGTTAATAATGTTAGATAAAACTAAATCATACATGAATAAAATGATGATTCACTTAATTTAAAATAAAATAATTAATAAATAATAAAAGATTAATCAAATTTGAGATCTTTGACTTAATACACATTAGAAGATAGTTTTAAAGTTGAAACTAATGTACATTAAAGTTATCAAGCAAATAAAAATCCTATATTGAAACAATTAGATAATCAATTTAAAGATGAAGATAAATAATATTAATTAATTGATTAATTAAGTAGTAGCATAGAGATTTAAGGTTAGAGAAAAAATTATAAATTTAGAAGATCATAATATGCTCCAGAAAATAGAAAATTAGAAGATGGAATTGTTAATAATAATAATAATAATAATACTGAACATATTAAATAAAATAATTATTCTATCAAAAAATAAAATAATAATAAATCTATTGAACGATTAACTTTAAAACCAATAGATTATGTATAAGTATGTTCTGGAGATTAAAAATTATAATAAAATGAACAATTAACATTCCCAAAAAAACAAAAGAGATATTAAACATAAGAGAAAGAAGAATTAGAATTAAATGAGATTTTAAAATGGAAAAAACAAAGTAATTAAAGTTTAAGGAATGCTTTATTATTACTATAATAAGGACGTTCAGAATAACTCTTGACTTCATTGATGGCTAGTGGAACAATTAAACATTAATAATATTAGTCTTTCTTATAACCAATAAAGATATATTCTAAAGCTAAATATTTGACTCCAAAGTGATATATTTACATAAAATCAATGTGCTCATAAATTTTTATTATCTGGATAAAGATATTTAAATATTATATCTGCAGTTTAGAATTAATAGTTTTTTAATGCTACATCCATTGCTGTTTATCCATTATACTATATAATTTTGAATAAAAATAATACATTTTGAATTGAAACATCAGCACCATTTTTAATTAAGAATTCTACTATTGAAGCAGCTCCACATTAAGATGCTGAAATTAGCATTGTGTCACCATCATCATTTTAGTAATTTAAATCTATTGATGTTTCTAATTTAAGAATTTCTTTTAAATCTTAAAGTCTATGTTCATAAACCATCAGAAATATTCTTTCATGTAAAGTTTTATCATCATTTTTTGTTTTTTGAATCATCATATTTCTTAATAATAATGATTATGGGTCCATTGATAATTATTTTAGATTATTTTAAATTTAATTCAAATTAATTTTCTATGTCTATTTATTTATATTTTATTATTCTTTCTCTTTTACTATTGAGAGTTTTTATACTTAAGGAGTTTATTATTGTATTTAAAACTTTGAAGATGTTTATACTTGCAAAAATCTTTATGACTGTTCTAAAATTTAATTAAAAACATTATTTACTTTTAAACATATTTTTAATGAGAACTTATTAATTTTAACGACTGTTTTTCTATGTTCTAGAGTCGCTCTTAATTATAGAATATAAATAAATACAAGATTAGAAGGAGATTCTGATCTACTTTTTATAGCAGCAGGAGGCAGAGATAATATCATTAAGTTTGTCTATTATTTTGGAATAGTTTCTATAGTAGTTTCTCTATAATGTCTAGATTTCAGCATATTGGAATATTTTATAGAAGTATTATCAGTTAAACTATTACTTTATTATTGATAACATAATTTAACAAATGTTTTCTCTTCATTATTAAGTTAATGTTTAAAGCAATCTTCAAATAATCCAATACTAATAATTTCAAATTTCTTAAAAAAAGATTTCAGAAATTTTTTTCTATCATTTTTATTAATTCGAAGGAAGAGTCGATTTAGAGCTTCCAAATCTAAGTATATTTATTATTAATTTACGTGGTTGATGCGGTAAATCATAATCTATATGAATGACTTATTCAACTTAATTTGCAAAAGCCATAATTTCTTAATGAAGTAAAACATTTTTTGATTCATCAGAGATAGTTGATATGATAAATTTAATTAATTTTTCTTTAATTACACATGGATCAATTAACTTTGATGCAATTAGGAATTTAAGTTTAATTCCCTAATCTGTTGAAAAATCTATATAGCTTTTATCATTAAGGAAACTATTGTCAGATATCATACTAGAATCTTATGAATCATATGGCTCAATACATCTATAAATCTCACTATTTATGTCAAAAAACTTGGTAGTTTAAAAGTCTTTCTTAACTATAATTAATAATTACAATAATAGAGTAATCCAGAGGTGTTTTTGAATTAAATATCTATTGTTCTTATTTTGAATCTTATTTCATTATATTCAATAAAGGTTCTGCATCTTTTTTTTCTTTGATTTTCTTTTAATTTATACATTTTAACACATAATTTTATAAGTAGTATCTAGTGAATTATGTTGCTTTATCAGAATTAAATTCCTCTATTATTGATCCATTAAGATTCTAAATTTAATTCATTTTTCTAATATAATAAATTTGATTACTTGCTAAACATATTTTTTGAAACCAAAGAATAGATATTTGATTTTTTGGTATCTTTGGATTCTACTACATTATTTATAATTTGAACTGAAACTAATTAATCTTCTTCCATATAATCAGGTACTAAAAACTCTAACTTATTATATTTCTATTCTTCTATGCACTCAATTACTAGTTTAATTTTTTTCTTATTATTAGATTGACAATTAGGTGATACAAGACAAATTGAAGCTTATTTAATTGGATCTTATTATTTTTCTTTAATTTCTTCAATTAAACTCTTCATTGGTTTAAATGATTCAGCTTGATGAGTTAATGTTAACTATGAACTATATTTTGTATGTCTTTTGGGTATAGCTGATAATTATTATTGAAAGAGTAGCTCTTTCTAATTAAAATGAGGTTATTCAGGTAAATAATAAGTGTGAGCATGAAAAAAAATGTTAGATTTGGCCATTTAAGTTTCAATCATAGTTTTACTTTTCAATTCTCTTTCTTCATTTCTTTCTCTATGAGTTTTAAGCAATTGAATTATCTTTCTAATCATTCTAGAGCTTTTCTCCTAAAATTTATCATATTCATTTAATTTGGTCTTACAAAATATATGACTTTTCTCTTTGATTTTAGACTACTTTTAACTTAATATCAACTCCTCACAAAGAACATCATAGAATTTCGGAGTTATCTCTTATACTTCCTCAATAGTTGGTTTTGATAGCTATTCTGGTTCCCAAAGTTAGATGGAGGGTGAAGTTTTGATTCTTTGAGAGATTAATGTAGCACTTGGTTTTCTACTAATAATGACAATTGATTTTTTGAATTCATTTTAGGCTGTTTAATCTTATTCAGTTTTAGCACGAGCAGAACTGGGCTGCAACTCTGGTAATTTAATAGCTGTCTCATTCTTTCTTCTATGTTTACTTCTACTAAAGGTTAAATAAGAAGTTGGCTTTAATTCATTTGATCTTGTAACTGCCGAATTTGTACTAACTTGTGAAATTGGTTTGGTTATTTTCTTAACAAAATAGTTATTGGCATGTTATTTCATTATTATAAATTGCTTAATTCAAATGAAACAATTATTTCTAAATCTGAATATTAAATAAGAATTTATACTTCTAATAAGATTATGTTTGTTTTTACGTTAAATTCATTTTTAATTTGAACTAGAAGTATAAATATTAAAGGAAATTCATTGAAAATTATCATTTTTTGTAATTTCTCATAAAATTATTAACCATAATCTTAAGATATATATAGATTAGTATACAAATTAGACTATTTATAGTCCATAAAATTATTGTTTTTAAACCAATTATAGAAATTAAGGGTTCATAATTAAAATAACAAATGTGTCCATTCCTTAATGCAATGAGAATACTAATCTTATGGTTAATTATTATGGCTGTATTTGTAAAAAAAAGTCAAGGAAAAAGAATAACATAGATGACTTGGACTTGTTTAGATAAACTTGGAACTATTTTGTTAAACTTTCACTAAAGATGTATTATGTGATTTCATCAATTAATTTTTTACAATGTAATAAAATATCATCATTTTTTGCATCATCAGTTGTTTAATCACAACATCATTAGCCGTTAAAGGTATAGATATAGCTGATGCCTTTAACAATTTTACCTGTTTCAAAAATGCAGGTTATCAGTTTGCCATTATTCGTGGATATCGAAGTTACGGAGCAGTTGATCCAAATGCTGCAACCAATATGAAAAATGCTTAAGCTGCAGGATTAATTACAGATGCATATTTCTTCCCATGCAAAGGAAGTAATTTATTAGAATTTACATTTCCTAGAAATTACAGCTGCTTAGTAGGTCTCAGATTTTATAAGTGCATTAGGATCAGAAGAAGAGTACTCAACTAATGGATTATATGGTACTATTTGGTTGGATGTTGAAACTAATCCAAGTACTGGTTGTGGATGGAGTAGTTCTGATTACACCGGAAATTGTAATTTCTTGAATGATTTGATCACAAATTTTAAAAACAAAGGAAAGCTAGTAGGTATTTATTCTAGCAAATATTAATGGGAAACTATTTTTGGATCTGTTTCAGCATGTGCTAAATTTACGTCATTACCACTTTGGTATGCTCATTATGATAATAACCCATCATTTTCTGACTATGCTAAATATTCATTTGGTGGATGGACTACTCCCAACATAAAATAATATAATGGAGATCAAACTGTCTGCAATGCTGATGTTGACTTGAACTTTTATTGATTTGCACAATATCATAATCAATTTTTATTTACCTTTTATTTTATCTTACTATATATGATCACAGAAAAATTTCTTAAATAGCTTTCTTTTATATTTTTGATACATATTATAAGAATATCTTAAATTATTAAGAGATTATAAGAGCAATTTAAAAATGAAATTGATCATACAATACTTAACTAATAAAACTATAAACAAAAAATCAAAAGGATATCAATTTCTTAAATGTTAGACAATCATATTTAGTAAAATATTAAAAAATTTACAACATAATAATTATTATTATTTTTAAACAATAATTTATATAATATTATAAATTATCCATAAAATTGTAATACAATATATATATGCATCGTAATAATTTATTAATAATCATAATTCTTCCTTTCTTGTAAATTAAATAGGAAAAAATGAATTATATATTATTTTTAGAGCTATTTCAAATCATATTGCATTCACAATATAAAATTTGAATTTTTTTCTTATCTTCATCTTTTACTTAATCACAAAAAATAGTTATTTTTACATTATGTAAATCTATTTTTAAAATAAGATTAATAAATATTATTGTGTTCTGACTTTTCTCAAAAAAAGAGTTAAAGCAACTTTAAATACAGATTTTACTTAATTATATGCTTAATGAAAAATTTCTAAAATTTCATTTAACTCAAAACTTGAATATTATAAAATAATTATAATTTAATGTAATAATTAAGAATTATATAAGTATTATAATTTAAATACCAGTCCCGCCAAACTTATAAATTATGTAGGATTAAAGCACAATTGGATCTGATATTTATTAATTAATTTAAATTAGCAAACCTCAATTTTGGATGTCATTGTTTTTTGTCTTAGAAGACTAATAGAATGAGATTATTATTGAGACCCTAATATTTATTTCAATTTGTTTGGTTCTAATTTTATAGCTTACAAAGTAATAATAATTTATAGCTCTAGATTTAGATAGTGTACTAAATAGAAAACAATATATGAATAATGCTATATAAAATAGTCTCTATAAGAGTTTGAATAAAATAAATAATAGCTAACAAAATATCATATGGAAAAATTGCATGAGGATCCTAAGTTTAAAGAATGGCAATAATCATCAAAAAAGAGTTGATAAAATTTAATTACTTAATTTATAATATTAGTCAAACAGTATTAATTTTATCATTATAATTTAACTCTTTCATTGTTTCTATATTATAAAAATAAAACTCATTAAATTATACATAAAATTTTAATGTTAATAAAAAATAAGATAGTTTAATAGAAAGAATAGAATATCCTATAATTTTAATATCTAATATTAAATCATCAAATTTTTTTTTTTTAAAAAAACTAATCTAATTTTTTTTATTTTGGATCTTCTAATATTTATTATTAGTTATTTTTTTTTTTTTTTTTCTATTTTGATTCATTTTTTGTATTATTTTAATGATCCACTTATTCTTTACCATTTTAACTTTATTTTTATAATTCTTAATTTTCAGTTATTTTTTCTTATTTAGCTTCTGTCTTTTTTGTTTTCTTTTCTTTTTTATTTTGTAGTTTTTCTGGATTTTATTCTCCATCTTAATTTTCATTTATTTATGCCTTATTCTTTGGTTATCTTTGTTTAGATTTCTTTTATTATTTTTCTTTATCTGATTGTTCTTGATTAGTATTAAATTAGTTTTAATCTTATTAATCATTATCTTTTTAAACTTGTTCTTCTTAATTTTTATCTTTATCTTATTAAATATCTTTATTATTGTCACCTTCATTATGGTTTCCTTTTTTCTTTGATGTCTTTGTTTTTTTCTATTAGGATAATTTATCAAAGTTGAATTAAGTATTTTTAACAAGGTAATAGTCTTTTTCTAAATTGTCAAATTATTTCAATAGTTTATCTTCTGCTGATTAAGATTTAATATTCTATAATTTATTTGAAAACATTCTAATTTTATCCAACTTATTTAATAAATCTTAGATGTTCTTTCTGATAGTCAATAATTATTATAATTCAGGATTATCAGTTGATTCAACTAATTTAGTTATGATTTCACTACTATAATGTTCTACATTTAATAATTGTGAAGGACAAGCAGTGTCTTTTAATTCAAATAATTTTTAATAATCATATTTTTTTCCTATATTGTTATTATTGATATTAATAGTAATAATTTGTTCACATTATAGGTCATCTGTAACTTAAAAACCATGTTCTACTAATTTTTCATTAATTTTGGTCAGTAATTCAGATTGTTTTCCCCAATAATGAGAAGCTAAATATTTACCTAATTAAACTTAATCCTATTTCTGTATTAATTCTTTAATAACTTAATCAGAGGCTGGATTTACAGGAAAACCTAATTCTTATATTTGTTCTTAGATTTTTTTATATTCAGAACATTTTTTCTCGATTTCTTCTATTTTAGATGATCTAATATATTTTATTTAGGTTTCTTATTATTCTTGATTTTCTTGTGTTTTGGCACTTTTTTTTTATTTTGGCATACCGCGCAAATATCAATAATAAATTTAATAAATAATTAAATTTTGTGAATTTTGATTAATCAAAATATATAAGACTTAATAACAAAATATTATAAAATAATTGATTAGTATTTCGATTGAATAGTAACAAATAAATATATCTGATAATCATCAAATAATATATGTTTATGGTCTTCCTTAATGATTTACAATAACTATTTTCTATTTTAATGGAGACAGCTACTTTTTTGTTTGGAAATAATGAGTGGAATTTTAAGATTTTAAAAACTTAGAACAATCTATTAATGAGAAATGTATATGTTTTTTTCTGATATCCTTAAAAAATAAAGATATATAATACTTAATAATATTGATTTGAATAACTAGTATCTTAATCAAATTGAGTATTGAATTTTTACTGACTAGTAATAGTTGATTATTAATGTTGAGAGTATTAAATATTTGGTAATAATCTTCTAATTGACAAAGATTATTATCTTTTATTTTCATATTTGGTTGATAGAAATATTTTTTCATATAGTTCTATATCTCTTAATACTTTATCATTTTAAGCAATTTCATTTTTATGAGAATTGGCTTTTATCAAGTTTTTCATTTGATTATTAATTTATTAACTTTATGTTAAGAATATTTAGTAAATGTAGATTCTCAACACAAAATTTTTATTAATTACTGGGAGTTCGTAAAGATTCTACAAATGAAGAGATAAAAAAGCAATTTCATATTCTGGCCAAAAAGCATCATCCTGATTCTCCAAATGCTAAGGAGAGTGATTAAGTATAAATTAATTTAAATTATAGGAATTGTTTAAATCAATAGTAGCAGCATATAATACATTATCAGATGAAAATGAGAGAAAGAAATATGATAGGATTTTGATAGAATAATAGTAATAATCTAATGGGAGATAATAGAATTAAGAAACAAGAACCTAATATTCTTAATAATAAAGACAGTAACAATACAGACCTATAAATCCTAATGCATAGTTTTACTATGATTTTCGTAGGAAAACATAAGATTTCGAAGAGAGAGACTTTCATAGACAAAGACACAAATATATTTAAGACAATCCATTATTTTATAGTATGAGGAACAGTCCAGAATTGTATGTAGTAAGTTTAGTATTTTTTGTTATAATGTGGAGATGGAATTCTTAAATGATTGAAGAGAGAACCTAATCTAGATATTAGTCATTTCCAGAGGATCCTGAATTTATAAGAGAGAAAGAAAGAGATTACAAGAAACGTTATGGTTATTCACCTTATCCAAATAGATAAATATTGTATAAAGTAACAGAAAAAGAATGCAAGTAAATAGATAAATGATAAAATAAGAAACATTCCAATTCAAATTCTTGATGAGATGGATGAGAGTGGCAGATACAATATGGACCCATTTTGTTATGAGAGATTGGATAGATTTAAATCAGAATAGGGAGTTTAAGTCATATAAGGAAATCAAGATTCAGAAGATACAGTTAATAAATACTTAAAATTGTCAAAAAAAACATAAATTAAAAAATAAATTGTGGATGAGGAAGAAGATAATGATTAAGATGTCTCTAAATTATATTAATAGGCAAAGATCTTTAGAAGACTCAAAGGTCTTGATTGTAATCATTTTAATTTATAAAATGTATAAAATTTGTAAAAGAATTAGGAATAATAATAATGATAATGATTATTTAATGTTCTGATTTATTTATTTTGATTTAATAATTTTCATATGAAGAAGAGTGATCTTCTCTAATTCAATATTGGGTTTGGCTTAATCAAGGATTATGGTTTTCTGGGATCGAATCTATCTCCTATAAAATTAGAACAAACATGAGCATATTGGATAGGTGCAGGTATCTACTAAAAAAATAACAATTACTTTTATGGCTCCACTGAAATTGTAATACATATAACACAATTTATAAGACAAGGCCTACAATTTCTTTAGGATATTAGGTTCATCAAATAGATCATTTACTAAGACATGATAATGAGTGGGTTACACTGTTCCTTAAGTTGTTCTTTGTGAAATCAGATAATAATCATCTTTCCCATTGCTAATCTCAGTGTCTATCAAAGTACCTTAAGGTGGATTGTCTAAATTTCTAATGTAATATTAATGAAAATAATTATTACCTTTCTCCAGCATAAAATTTAGCTCCTACTTTCTTATTGACTGATAATACTATTAATTTAATAGGTTTGTCAGAATTCTTTTCTGTTTTGACTTATTCAATTGCTTATCTAAATTATGCTACTTCTGTTTCAATAACTGTTTTTGCTTAAGAATTAGAAACACCATCTCTAAATATAATGATTCGAGATGGTAAAGGACCATTCCTATCTCCACAAAAAGATTGCAAAGATTTGACTAATACTGGACATAAACTAAATGAAAATTCTACTCCAGTTTCCATTTCAATTGATTAAGTCATGTATTTACTAAAGAATTCATCTTCTGTTGATACAAATGATAACATAGATTTTTTTGCTTTTCCAGTAGAATGATATACATCCATTCCACAAATCATAGTTGGTTAATCAGTAAATGGTAATTCTGATACTCCCCAAGGTGTTCCTCCAACTTTAGCACAAATTTGAACCAATAATTTATTACAAATAGTTTTAACTTTTCCTTTAGGTTAATTTAAAGTGGAACTCAATATAACTTATGAAGCTATTGGACAATCATTAATTAAATATCTTTTGATATCTGTATAAAGTGGAGCATTCTTCTTTGGACCATTTAATATTAATAATAACAAGGTTACTTTTTATGGTCCTTATGATTATTATACAATTAAATCTATTTATTTAATCCAATCTTCAATTCTATTTGAATGAAGTACAAAAGTACGAGGAGCTTTACATTAAAATTTACAATATTCAATACTCTCTCTCAAACAATTCATAAAATCTTCAGCTTATCTACTATCTCTATCACTATATAATATTCCCCAATTCTCTAAACCTACTCCTCTTAACATAGCTGTCTGAGTATCTCTATCTAAATTACCTGTTTCTATATTTATAGATGTGTTATTCCCCATCATAATATTTCCTGGTTTGATTTTAGAACTTTAAATCTATAAACATTTTGGTTCTAATTAAATATTCCATTTCTTAATTAATTCTTCACTCTCTTTATTATGAAAACACTAAATAAATTGATCTGCTTATTTCACTCTATCTACTCCTCTTGGTTTAGTAACAGTGGATAATTATTTCATTGT